GCCCGCCCGGGGCCATTCCCGGCCCGTTCCTCCCCCGCCATTTTGAGGCAAGCCCCTCTCCCCCTCAGAGACCCCCATTATATACCCACGGCGCGGCCCCGCCCTTCAATCACTGCCATTGGCCGGTTTTTCCCGCCCGAACCCAAGCGCTCGCTCTGATTGGTTGAGTCGGCCGCCACTCCTCGTAGCGGCGCGCTGATTGGCCAGCGCCGCGCTGAGGGGTGATTTCCCGCCTGGCGGCCTCATGGCCGCCGGGATTTTGAGGGTTCGGATTCCTCTTCTTCCTCTTCTTCCTCTTCTTCCTCTTCTTCCTCTTCTTCCTCTTCTTCCTCTTCTTCTTCATCTTCCTCGTTTTTCATTTCTTCGGGCCTTCAACGCCTTTTGTGCTTCCCTCGTGCCCTGCTCGGAGCCGCCCGGAGGAGGAGGAGGAGGAGGAGGGGGAAGGGATGGGGATGAAGATGAGGAAGATGAAGATGAGGAAGATGAAGATGAGGAGGAGAAGAGGGGGGTGAGGATGAAGAGGAGGATGAAGATGAGGAGGAAGAGGAGAGTGGGATGGGGATGAAGAAGAGGAGGATGAGGAAGAGGAGGAGGAGAGCAGGATGGGGATGAAGATGAGGAGGAGACGAGGATGGGGATGAGGATGAAGAGGATGAGGAGAAAAGCTGGCTGAGGATGAAGATGGAGAATGGGAGGAGGATGAGGATGAAGATGAGGAGGAGAAGATGAGGATGAAGATGATGATGATGATGAGGAGGAGGAGGAGGAGGAGGAGGAGAAGATGAGGAGGAGGAGGAGGAGGAGATGAAGATGAAGAGGAGAAGAGCAGGATGAAGATGATGATGATGAAGAGGAAGAGGAGGAGGAGATGAAGATGAGGAGGAGAAGGAGAAGGAGATGATGAGGAAGACGAGGAGGAGGAGGAGAGCAGGATGAGGATGAAGATGATGAGAAGAAGGAGAAGATGAGGATTATGATGATGAAGATGAAGATGATGATGAGGAGGAGGAGGTGAAGATGAGGAAGAGGAGAAGAGCAGGATGAGGATGAGGAGGAGAGCAGGATGAGGATGAAGATGAGGACGATGGTGTTGAGGAAGAGGGGGAGGAGGAGAACAGGATGAGGATGAAGATGATGACGAAGAGGATGAGGAGAAGGAGGAGAAGATGAGGATGAGGAGGAGAAGGAGGAGATGAAGATGAGGAGGAGGAGGAGAAGAGCAGGACGAAGATGAAGATGATGATGAAGAGGATGAGGAGGAGGAGATGAGGATGAAGATGAAGATGATGAGGAGGATGAGGATGAGGAGAAGGATGAGGATGAAGATGATGAGGAGGAGGAGAGCAGGATGAGGATGAAGATGATGAGGAGGAGGAGAAGGAGGAGAAGATGAGGATGATGATGAAGATGAAGATGAGGAGGAGGAGGAGGAGGTGAAGATGAGGAGGAGGAGGAGAGCAGGATGATGAAGACGAGGAGCAGGATGAAGATTGAAGATGATGATGATGATGAAGAGGAGGAAGAGATGAAGATGAGGAGGAGGAGAGCAGGATGAGGATGAAGATGAAGATGATGGTGATGAGGAAGAGGGGGAGGAGGAGAAGGAGGAGGAGGAGCAGAACAGGATGAGGATGAAGATGAGGATGAGGAGGAGAAGATGAAGATGAGGAAGACGAGGAGGAGAGCAGGATGAGGATGAAGATGATGATGAAGAGGAAGAGGAGATGAAGATGAGGAGGAGGCGAGCAGGATGAGGATGAAGATGAGGATGAAGATGATGATGAGGAGGAGGAGAAGAAGATGATGAGGAAGACGAGGAGGAGGATGAGGAGAGCAGGATGAAGACTGAAGATGATGAGGATGATGATGATGAAGAGGAAGAGGAGGAGAAGGAGAAGATGAAGAAGATGAGGATGATGAGGAAGAGGAGGAGAAGGAGAAGATGATGAGGATGATGATGATGAGGAAGAGGAGGAGAAGGAGAAGATGAAGAAGATGAAGATGAGGAAGAGGAGGAGAAGATGAAGATGAGGAAGAGGAGGAGAAGGAGAAGATGAAGAAGATGAAGATGAGGAAGAGGAGGAGAAGATGAAGATGAGGAAGAGGAGGAGAAGGAGAAGATGAAGAAGATGAAGATGAGGAAGAGGAGGAGAAGATGAAGATGATGAGGATGATGATGATGATGAAGAGGAGGAGAAGGAGAAGATGAAGATGATGAGGATGATGATGATGAAGAGGAAGAGGAGGAGAAGATGAGGATGATGATGATGATGATGATGATGAAGAGGAAGAGGAGGGGCCGCGGCCGCCGGCAGGGGCGGCACTTCCCGGGTCAGCGGCGGCGGCTCCATCCGGCCCGGGCGGAGCCTCCGGGAGCGGAACCGGGGCAGCCCCGGGGCCCCCGAGCGGCTCCGGAACCGGGGGGGACCCCGGGGGGCCCGAACCCGGCCCGGAGGGACCGGAACCGGAACCGGGAGAGGAACCGGGAACCGAACCAGGGTTGGAACCGGGAACCGAACCGGGAGCGGAGCCGGTACCGGCACCATGCAGGAGAGCTACGAGTCCCTGATGCTGCTGGGTGAGCCCCAAAATCAGCCCAAAAATTGATCCCAAATCAGCCCAAAATGAGCCCAAAATTGATCCCAAATCAGCCCAAAATCTGCCCCAAATCAGCCCAAAAATCGATCCGAAATCTGCACTAAATGAGCTCAAAATCAGCCCCAAATCGGCACCAAATCAGTCCCAAAAATCAGCCCCAAATGAGCTCCAAATCACCCTCAAAATCAGCCAAAAAGCCCCAAAACCGGCCCCAAAATCAGCTCCAAATCGGCTCCAAATCAGCTCAAAATCAGCCCCAAATCAGCCCAAAAATTGATCCCAAATCAGCTCAAAATCAGCTCCAAATCGGCCCCAAATCAGCCCAAAAATCAGCCCCAAATCAGCTCCAAAATCCCCTCCCTCCCTCCCCAAAATCAGCTCCCAAAAAATAAAATTGGGATCAAATCCGGCACCGCTGCCTTGAGATTTTAAATGGAATTTGAATCGAAGTTGAGTTCTAATGAACCTGATTTTGTCTGTTTTATTTTATTTTATTTTATTTTATTTTATTTTATTTTATTTTATTTTATTTTATTTTATTTTATTTTATTCTTATTTTCTTACTTTATTTTGTGTTCTATTTATTTTATTTTATTTTTCTACTTTATTTTAATTTATTCCCTTGTTTTCAACTTATTTTCTATTTAATTTCTTATTTTATTTTTAACTCCTTTTCTGTTTATCTTGTTTCCTTTATATTTATTATGTTTTGATAATTTAATTTCTCATTTCTATTTGATTGTTTTACTGTATTTATAATTTGGTTTATTATTTTATTTTACATTATTTTCTTTTAATTTGTCTTTTTCTTTTTCTTTTTATTTTTATTTTTATTTTTATTTTCTTTCCCCTTTTTACTTTTATTCTTATTTATTTTCTTATTTTTATTCTTATTTTTATTTTTATTTTCATTTCTGTTTTCATTTTTACTTTCATTCTTATTTTTCTTTATTTCTTCTTATATTGATTTTCATTTTGATTTTCATTCTTATTCTTATTTTTATTTTCATTTTTATTTTTATTCTTATTCTTATTTTTATTTTTATTTTTATTCTTTATTTTTTATTTTTATTTTTATTTTTATTTTCAATTTTATTTTTATTTTCAATTTTATTTTTATTTTCATTTTGATTTTGATTTCCCTTTCCCGGCTCCAGATTTCCCCATTCCCAAGCCCAACATCGTTTCCCGCCTGGAGCCCGAGGAGGATTTGGGGGTCCCGGACCCCAACGACTCCAAGGAGTGGGAAATCCTCCGGGTGGCCCCGGCAGGTGAGCCCCACCCTCCCCTTTATCCCCTTTTCCCCCAATTTCCCCTTTGCCCCCTTTTTTTCCCATTTTTCCAATTTTTTTCCACAATTTTTTCCCATTTTCCCACATTTTTTACCCCCATTTTCCCCCATTTTCTCTCCCATTTTCCCACATTTTTCAACATTTTTTCCACATTTTTCCCCTCCGTTTTTTTAACATTTTTTCTCCTCTTTTTCTCGCATTTCCCCCCATTTCCCCCCCAATTATTTTCCCCATTTTCCCCATTTTCACCCATTTCCTCCCATTTTTCCCCATTTTCTCCATTTTTTCCCCAATTTCTCCAATTTCCCCCATTTTTTCTCCATTTTCTCCCATTTTTCCCCCATTTCCCCCCATTTTTCCCCATTTTTTCCCATTTTTCCCAACTTCCTCCCCATTTTTTCTCCATTTTTCCCCATTTTTCCCCATTTTTTCCCA